TTTTTTCCCTTGTTGAAAGAGAAGATACATATTCTTGGGCTTTTTTTCCTCATTACATGTTGTCACGAGGGACAAAAATCTATGTCATTTCAGATTATGGAGATGGGATCAAAGCAGTAATGGAGTCTTTGGGTCTAATGTGGCAACCATCCTATATCCAACATCGATATTGTATCCGACATATTACCGTGAACTATCATGAAAAGTTCAAGAAGAATGATGAACGCTAATTACTTATGCGCATGGGTATGCCACAATTCCTAATTTCATTTCTCCATCATCTTAATTTTTTATGGGAACTTAACAGTAAATACTACATTTAACGCTAAGGTTATGAACTACTTCTTTAAACGTTTGAGTCCATGCTTCAAGATTTGTGAGTAAAAAGTGAGTAAGGATACAATTACATTAGGCTCGTCAATAAAGAAATGTGGACAAATGCATATGATAGTGGATATCGATATGGACACATGACGACCAACTTGGCTGAGACTATCAATTCGACCTTAAAGGGGGACGCCATTTAACAGTTTTGGTTAAAACAAGTATTTTTGTTTGGGAGCACTTTTTCCAAACTCTGGGGACAAGCTGAAACCTGGATTCAAAACGGTCATGTTTATCACCCAAGATTAGTTGCAGATCTACAAAAAAGAATTGTTGCTTCAAATGGAATATCTGTAACAAGCTTCTCTCAAACCCATTAATTATTATTTCGTGTCATAGAAATGCCATGACCTCTTTAAGGGATTGAAGCTAACTCGTTTAGAGTTAATCTAGAAGACAAGTGGTGTGACTGTGGGTTTTTTCAACCTCTGAAGTATATATACTCCCATGTCATAACAACTTGCTCTTATACCTGTCAAGACTATAATCATTTTGTGGATCTCGTATATCTACTTTCAGAAGTATTTAAGGTATATGAATTTGAGTTCCCCCATAGGTAATGAGAAAGACCAGATGAGGTTCATAATTGGCTTCCGATTGTACCAGATACGTCCTTATTAAGGGAGTCAGGTCGTCCAAAATCCACTCCAGTTCATTGTGATATGGATATTCGAGAGACGTCCAAAGAAAACAAAAGATGTGGGCATTGTATAAACATAGGCCACAATAGGAAAACATGTCCATCGCTTTTATCATCACATAACCGTTGATGTTGTGACGATGAAATTGTTGTTTCTGAAATCTCAGTTTGTGTTATTTCATTTTCACTTTCCTTGCATTAATTTCATTTGAGCACCACTAAGTAATGGGCTACTCAAGTGAAAATTTTAGGTAAAAACATTACAAACTAAATAATGAAAACAATTAAATACAAACATTAAATACAAACGATACAATTCAAACAATTAAATAATAAAAACTATTAAAGAACAAAATAAATAAAAAGTCTATAATTAAATAAAAACATTATATTTGTTGATAAATAAAGAAAATTAAATAAAAACTTTACAAACTAAACAAGTCATCGATGTCTGCGTCTTGAATGTATTCTATGGGGCAGTGGCTGTCTATTTCAATGAGGGTTTCTTCGTATAAGTTGTTATTCCTCCTCACTCTCATCTTCATCATCATTAGCAGTAGCAGTTACATTTTGTTGATGGGGGACGGATGACGATGTAACAACTTTATAGAATAAATACCTTGGAGGTGTATGATTAACCATCTCATCGCTCATATAAAATTGTGAAAACTAAGAAAAATTGATATCGATGACTACGAAAACTGGGTCGGAGGTGTCTGAGTCTGTGGTGAAGCATCACCCGCCAAATAAGCAACATATGAAGCCCATGCTAGATCTACAGGCATGGAACTATAATATCCGTAAGGAGGTGTCATAAAACCCTACGACAGTGGCATATGAACCGACTCTGGTTGCATCTGAAACAATTGTGGTGGTGTTTGACCCAGCTATGGTATCTGAAATGGCTGTAGAGTGTAAACAAGTGTAGACGATAGTTGTTGTGATGGTTCCAGTGTTGCAGTTGAGGATGAACTGGAAGCGCGTGCTCTCCGTCCACGAGTCGGGGGACGATGATGTTATGACGGTGGATGCTTTTCTCGACGCTGATGAATGCTCCCTCCTTGTGCTTCCTCGAAAAGTAGGAACGACTTCTTGTTCGTGTTGAACCACTAATAATAATCATTTGCAACTGAATAATGATCCACATAAATCGGCTCCCTAAGAGGAATACGTCAACGTCGATCTTCCCAGATTATTACCCACTCGCTGTGCTTCATCAGCCAGTTTACTTCTTTTTTGCTTCGTCTATCGATGTTATGCAAATTGTCGAGATTCTTAGGTGCTTCATGAATAGATTGTATGAAACCAAATTAGCAGAGAACACAATCAGTGAGATGCCACTCGACAATAGCATAACATATAAGAGGGACCACTGTCATCCATACATCTAATGGGCCACTCAAGTGAGGTGGGATGTAATGCCTCATTTCTTCAGTAACATAAGAAGTCCACTGAAACTAAAACAAATATATATAATTCTTATAAAAAATAATATTTTAATTATATAACTATAATTAAAGGTAAGTAATAAAATTTAAGTACATACCCGTGTACCAGCCTTTTGATCAATGAGTAGCCGAATTTCTTCCAATTCGTCTAGTATATCAAGATGATGTTTTCTTACACATGACCACCTATTCAATGTAAAAATAATTTCATTATATACTCAAAAAAATTTATTTATATACGAACTCAATATTGAAATTATCTCAACAATAACGGGAAGACTAACGGGTTTTTCAAGACCGGACAAAAAAAGGGCATGCGATACCACGTCCATGGCTGCAGAAGAAGGAGACATCTACCGATAGCATTTTTTCGATAATCAGTTGCTCGTCACATTTCTCTGTACAGAGATGCCAAAATCGCGGAGCCCCAACTGAATGAGCCGGCAACTCAAAAATCTATGAGATAACGCAACCACATACAATGAACTTGGTTGTAAGATTTATCGGGCATCAAAATCCCTCCTATGAGTCGTAAAATGCAAGCCTGGGCAAATATTTTAGCCTGTTCCTCGGAACAATCGTCGCTCATTATCGAAAATTTGTAGCCAACCATGATAACGGTATTCGACCACTGTTAAAATTAGGCGGGATACCTTTAAGACACTCTTTGTACAAGGAATGCCAATCACCATCCGCCACACCAGAAATGACATCCCCATCTACCGAAAGCTCCAAATATAACGAAACATCCTTCAGCGTAATAATGCACTCCCCACACAGTAGATGGAATGTGTATGTCTCTGGTCTCCACCTCCCAACCAGTGTAGAAATAAGGTTGGATTCAATGTTACAATGCCCTTCATATCTACCTATGTAACCGAATCCAACATCGGCCAAATACGACCAGACAAGATTCATTATCTCTAACTTTGCGTTATGAATAAATGGATCTAATATACGAATTAAAAAAATAATTAATACAAATTAAAATATAAATTAATACTAAAAAATAAAACATTCAAAATAATTAACATAACACAATTTAAAGTTGTTATCGTATCCGCAAAATGACTCGAGATATGATTCCTATCTAAACGCAACAACCCGCCTTCCATTTTATAACTGCAAAACATAAAAAAAATTAGCACAATAAAATATAATAAAATAATACACTATTTAATGATTATAATATAATAAAAATAATTTTATCTTCTAAAAACAATAACAGAACTTACTTGAAGTTTTTTAGAAGAAATGATAAAAGTAAAGATGAGATTTTTTTTTCGTGTGGTTTGAGAGTTGTATGAGGTCATATTTATAGGGGAGGAGTAGGTGGTAATTAAGGGGAGCGATAGACGGTTGAGAGTATTTATGGAATGCGCGGATGGTGATATGCTCATTCCGTCACGTGTCAGTTTTCCCCGCGAAGGCGCAGAGGTGATCCGATCTTTGCACGCGTGGTGTCAGTTCGGACGAAAACCCAGGGAAGGCACGTTTGGTGATCCGCGCCTTCTGTCCATGTCTACAAATGAGTGTTAGATTGGTAAAATTTGGTTAATGGGTGCCTGGCAAGTAATTATTGATTCTTTGGATGCTTTTTGGGTAAAAACGCCCCAAACTTCCCATTCATCGCTGAAAATATCTTTTAATTATGATAAAGCAACAATAAGTTTATGATTTAGAAAGAACGAAAAAAAACAATTTGGTATTTGGGCGCTTTTAGTCTATATCATTCCTAATTTCTTTCAACTTTAAGCCCTTTATTACATATTAATTTTTAAATTTGGTAACTTTCTTTGAACATAACCCCTAAACTTAGATTTCATCACATATTTAAATTCTTAACGAAATTCAAATTTAATTGAAAAATTGTAAAATTTAAAAAATATGAAGAACAAAAAGAGTAATTTAACGACTAAATTAAAAATTCAAGAATTATAATATTCTTTATCCCTTTCAAACATTCAATGACTATTTTGTTCAGTAAAAATACTATTCATACTACAATTTTTCTAAGTTTAATAAAAAAAAGGGTAAACTAACGTATAATATCTAAACTATTTTTTATACCTAAACTTTATCTTTTTCAAAATCATATCTAACATTTAATTTAGGTTCTAATTTGATACCCCTCCATTAAAAAGTTAACAGAACTATTGATGTGGTATTTTTTCAGTAATGACATTTTTATCTTATGTTGACATGTCAACATCACCGTAAATTTTCAGTAGTGGGTACCAAAATGAAACATAAATTAAATATTAGGTATAATTTTAAAGAAAAAATACTTAGATACCAAAATAAAAGAAAAGTAATAGTTTAAATATTAAACAAGTGTATCCAATAATAAAATATAAAATCAATATACTTTTAGTACTTTCTTATTAAGTTAATGAGTTGACTCGAAACATGACTCAGTCCATATATTGAAAAATATCTAAAATCTAAATATTATTTGCCAATCATTGGAGAAAAATAAAACAAAATAAATGTTTTAATTTTCTTTTGTCAGGAAGAAAGTTCTTTCATCAACTGATAAAGCATCCGACTTTGCTAAGAGAAAGAGAGCGTGAAACAAACGTCTTCTCTTCCCTCTACGTCTACGCCATCACTCACACAAACTACAAACAAAGGAGAAAAAAAGAAGGGAAAAATGGGTGATTCAAAGGTTGAAACGATCTCCAGATTAGCTCAATGGAAGATCGACAACTTTGGTCCTTGTTCCTTCAGAAAATCCGACCCTTTCAAGCTCGGTCTTTGGAACTGGTACTCTCTTTTTTTAATCTAATACCCAGTTTTCTTCTTCATTGGAAATTGTTGTTCTTTTTTTTTTTGTTTTTGTCTTGTTTGATAACTCTGACTTTAATGAAACAGGCACTTGTCTGTAGAGAAGAATCGATATTTGTATATTCGTTTGTTCCCTGAGCCATCTCGGGTGTCTAAGGAGCAGCCTCCTCATGCTAAATTCGTACTTCGGATCTCAAATGTTGGTGTTAATCGTAGACTTTATATCTCCCCAGGTATGCCTTTCATGTTTTTCATCTCCTTGCTTAAATCGATAGCAAAGATTATGGCTTTTGAATGTGGATTTATGTTTAGAAGAAAGGTTGAAGATGAAGATCAAGTGACGGGTTTTGCTTGTGAATCCAATGGATAAGTTGCTGGATGAATAAATGATGGAGAAAGGAGTTTAGGATTTGAACACAAAATGTCGACTTTGGTTCTAGAAGGAAGAGATAATTGATTGATCGATCACTCAAAGGCTTTAGCTAATAGGAAAAAAATCCCACTTTTATGTTCAAATTATGGTGGTGGAAGCAATTGATCATGTGAAAGTGAAAGCAAGTTTGGGGATTTGAGATTGAGTTTTATTGTCTAACACATATGACATTAGTGTGCTTTTGTGTGTTTGTATGTTGGTGTTCTTTGCCATAGAGTTTTTAGGATGGAATTGATATTTGAAATTGGAAAAGGGGGTTTAGGATCTGAGCACAATATGTAAACTCTGGTTCTAGAAGGAAGAGATAGTTGATTGATCAATCACCCAAAGGCTTTAAGCTAATCGAAAAAAATCCGACTTTTATGTTCAAGTTATGGTGGTGGAAGCAATTTATCATGTGGAAGTGAAAGCAAAAATTGGGGATCTGAGATTGAGTTTTATTGTCTATAACATATGATACTAGTGTGCGTTTGTGTGTTTGTATGTTGCTGTTCTTTGTCATGGAGTTTTTACAATGGAACTGATATTTGAAATTGGATCGCGATTCTTGATTGCGAGCAGTGTTTATTTCCGGTGTAGAATGAAATGATAAATAAAAACGCAGGAACAAGAAGCACACGATAAGTCGAAGTTGGTTACCTACTAATGCAAGAATGGAGAAAGGAACCTCGGATCTTTCTATTATTAAGTTCTCAAATTGAGTCCATATGCTGACATAAATCTTGCTTGTTCATATTTTGTTAGGGAAACATAGTTTTGAACTTTTGTATCGTTTTCTCATCAATTGAACAACTACGGACTTAAAACTGCTTTCTCAATTGGTCTTTATGCATGTTTAGTCTGTTGAGCAGCTCTGGGAATTCACGCTTGATACTAATTTGTCTACTTGGTGCTGCAGTTCATGATAGACCACTGCGAACATGTGACGACTTTTGTTGGCCTGTTGATTTTATGTTCCATGGTCGCTTCATTATTGATGTCGAGTTCCTGGACCTAAGGATCTGCCCTATAAATGTGAGCTCCTTTTGATTGTCACTAATGTAGTACGGTAGCAATTCACCAACTATGCTTCAAGTTATTTTTCTTTATCTTGTTATATGTTGACGGATATGTTCTTCTCTTAAACCTTCACGTTTTAACGCAGGGTGGTGAATCTGTTTCCATATGGCCCGTTGATGGAGCAATGCAGTCTCTGTCAACTCAAGGCACCCTGCGCTGCCTTGCTCGCATGCTTGATGAAGGTCTTCATGCAGATGTTACTATCCAGACTTCTGATGGCACTCTAAGAGCACACAAGGCGGTTTTATCCGCAAGTTCATCCGTTTTCGAGAGCATGTTCCATCACAACCTTAAGGAAAAGGAGTCATCCACAATCCATATAGATGACATGTCCCTGGAATCTTGCATGGCCCTTCTCAGTTACTTGTATGGAACGATAAAGCAAGAGGACTTTTGGAAGCATAGACTGGCGTTACTGGGAGCCGCAAATAAATATGACATTGTAGATTTAAAAGATGCTTGTGAGGAAAGCCTGTTAGAAGACATCAACTCGCAGAATGTCCTTGAGAGGCTGCAGGAAGCTTGGCTTTACCAATTAACAAAGCTGAAGAAGGGGTGCATGACATACTTGTTTGATTTCACCAAGATTTACGACATTAGAGAGGAAATCAATAGCTTTTTCTTGCAGGCGGACCGAGAACTGATGCTTGATATGTTTCAAGAGGTGCTGACGGTTTGGAAACCGATATGACTTCCCTTTCGGTTTTATTTTACCTTCGAGTTGCTGGTGATCGGACAAGTAAGCGAGGCACTTTATGGTATAATTTGATGTATATTACTCGAATAAACACCACATTTTGTTTCCCGATATCTGTACATAGGCCCGCATGCTAAGGTCTTTTCGTACCAGAATCGGTAGCTTGAGGGGTGTGTAACTCCGTGTAGTGACTGGTACAAAAACTTTGTTTGTAAGCAATGTACGCTTTGGTTGTTGAGTGTCATCTTATGCAACATTTCTGTGCTGTTCTAATATGCATAACTACATATATGCACATCGAGACCATTTCGTTCGAGATGGTTCGGAACAAAGATATGACTAATCCGTCAAGTTGGGAATCCGTATAGTCTTTGAAATTTTCATTATAATACAAAGATCTTGACTGCAGGACAAGAGGTTGATAACATTGGCTTCTATGTTCTAAGGCCAAAATTTTCAAATCAACTCTCCGGTCTGGGGTTACCGGCAGAGGGAAAAAAATGGTTTTCGACTGTACACAAAAACTATAGGAGCAGTGTACAGGCTATTATTTTACAAAGATATGCCTGTACTGTAGAGACCCACGTGCATCTATTTCTGATGGATCTCTATGGTTCTCCTCCCGTGCCGATGCCAAACCTTAAAAAAATGTATCTTTAATTTTGGTAGATAGCTTATTAAGCATGTTCGAGAGTGTCGAGAGTCGGTCCACAGACAATGCGTGAAGGGATGTTTAAGGTTGCCAGGGTTGGAATTTACATTGGTTTGCTGAAAGGTAATTGTTTAGCTCCCTGTTCAAGAGCCTTTCTCCATAACCTGTACCTCACTCCCAACTTATCATAGCTGACTGGTAAATTCCAGATGTTTGCGCCATTAATCATACGTTCTTGCTGGCCTATTACGAGTCGCAGATCTTCATTCAAGACCTGTATCAATCATGTGTATAAAGCAGGACAAAATATTAGTGACAAGCATCGTTGACAGATATTGGAGATGTCTGCAACTCAAACTGGTAAATGATGATAATACAGAGGAAAGATGAAATTAATGATTCTTTTTACCTGCTCTGCGAAATGTCTCCATAAATAATGCATGAAAGGAACGTGCTTCAACACGGGAGCAAAATCGAGTGACATTCTATATAATAGTCTTGTCTTATTTCTTGATGAAGGTATGCATACATGAAGCTGGTGAAGGTGTGTTGTGCATTCCTTGGTACTTTGTCCTTCCAGTTTTCCTGGCTTTGATATCCCGATGGTCGATATCACCATACAAGGAGGCCGAAATTCCATATCGATGGGATAAGGGTCCCAGTATCCTTGGAGACCCGATGCAGGTGTCAAGAACTTCACCAAACTGCGATGTTCAGATTACACAGTAAGTAAGATCAATATATTCAAGATCATATCAACCATTAATTGTTAGCATTTAGTCCATCCGTACTACTAACGAGCATGATGTTCATAAAAATCATCGATCAAAGCAATTCCGAATTAACAGAGCAAACCATTTCCCAATCTGATTGCAGAAACAAACCTTGGAACAGTCCATCCCTTGGCAAAAGTGGAAGTGTGAGTAAACGGTGCATGAGCAAGATCCAAAAGGTTATCCAAAAGGAGCCCGTGTTCGACCGGAAGTTCCATAACAATCTGGCATTTATCAGCATATGATGTGAGTTAGTGCGCTGATGTTTACTTAAAGTTGTCCATAACAAAGTTTTTGTGTTTCTTGCAACTATGATCGTGTTTAAAAACATTTAAAACATACCTCGGCATGAATTTGAAATCTGGAAGGAGGCTGTAAGGAGGGAAGGGTTGCCATAGGAGGGTCATCGCCAGGCCAAATCCAGATCATTCCCTCTTGCTCAAGACAAGGCAATGATCTTATCTTCACATTAAGTAATCGAGTAGACGGCATTTTTTCACATTTCCCTTCTGTTGTGTATTCCCAACCTGATGCATAATTTTTTTTTCGTGAATTTAGAAAAAAATTACACAACTATTTGTTAAACGTGAGGATGAACCGGATGTAATTCTGAGCATATATATTGTGTGAATCATTCACTGATATCTCTCTTGCTTTTAAAATGTACAGATCCTAAATTCATACTAACCATGGTAGGGGCATTGAATTCGACCCTCATTAACAGAACCAAGGTGAAGAGGACATGCTCTATGTGCACAGGTGTTCTGGACACATCCCGGATTCCCATCTTTTCCACGGAAAAGGACCCATGGCTCTTCAAAGCACTCGATCGGAATCTGGAACAAGATATAATAGAGACATTAATAGGACACAACACACATGTTAACTAGCTGGACGATAAAACAACACAGTTCCTAATCATCGTTATGTAGAACGAGTATGTCAATATTTTGTGGAGTTGGATGATAAACAACTTTTTAGTTTCGAATATAGGTTACCATAGTGTCGTCCTTCAGATCAGTGGAGAAAGCAATGGGATACCAAAAATTCTTCAAGCGTGGGTGATATGGTTGAACTGGACCAGACACATCCAAGCTTTTCCGGTGTAGCTTCTTCTTCACCATATCCGAAGATAGTGTTGATGTACTAGAGCAGGATGCTACATTGGACTCCGTTGCAGTCCTATAATCTAAAAGCTTATCATTAACCAATTCCTCCATGTAAGCTAGCTTATCCAAAGCGTCAGCAACCCTTTCTTCGGATATATGTACCTGTTATTTCTCCCAGATCAGAACCGAAATTGTCTATACCAGAATTGTTCTCTCTCCTGATTGAATTATAAGAATCACAGTTTCATTATCTGCAGATTTTTAATACCTGTTTATGAGCTTGTGCTAGTTCTCCTTGCAATTCTGCAAGCTCTTTCTTCATGGTGCCGATAGACTTGAATTCACGAGCAAGAGGATTCAACGCTTCCACTACCTACAACCATAACAAGGCAACAAAAACTTCTTAAACCGAAAATAAGAGAAAAGATTATGCAAGAATGTATTCTCGAAAATAACAAAAAACAACACCAAAAGTTCGAAAACACAGGTCAAGTAGAAAATAATACAACTTGTATAAGCAACAGCACAAAACTAAGTGCTCACAAAGAAGAATATCATATTTTGACCTTTTCATGAAGAACCATGATTGTGAGTAGATCTTGCCGAGCTCGCCAATCGCAGTACTGAATGTCGTATCGAGCCACTTCCAACGCCTGATATACATCTAAGAACTTCCCTTTACATTGTGGAACTTTAGACCTTGGATCCTCAACATCAAACAGAGATCCCCACTGGCTCTTCTTATCCCCCAAGCTACTTTCCTCACCAAATACAGCATACACCCTAAACCCCTTTTTAATGCCCTGAAACAGCACCAATCTCGAATTATAAGCCACCATGTAAACTAACTGATAGACGTAACAAATCAATAAGCTCATTTGAGGTGTTAAACTAGGGAATTTAGTGCATAAATTTGGTGGAAAACCTTATACATTTACTTAGCATGAGTCAAGTTCGAGTATTGTTGAGTTCGACTAGACTCGAAAAAATTCAAAGTTGAGCTCGACTCAAAAGTTTGTGAGCTTAAAATTGTCAAACTTAATTAAAACTCGAAATCAAAAATTGAAACTCAAATAAAAAACTTGTAAGCTTAAAATTTTCAAACTCACTGAAAAAAAAAATAAATCTTGACTAGAGCTCGAAAAAAACTTAAACTTAAAATATTCTTAAGATAATTCGATTTAAGTTCAAACTCGAGTTCGAGTTCAAACATTAACCATAAGTACACGAAAACCTTTTAATTGTATTTTTTTAAATAAGCAACATTTGAAGGTTAACATTATTAATAATTTGATTTAAAATTTAAAAATTTAATATATTATTCTTTCTCATGATTTTTTCGAGCTGTATTAAATAGTTCACAGCACACTTCAATTTATCAAGAGCTCGAGTACATTCAATTCCGATATTAACTGAATCTGATTGAATCAAATTCGAATAATGACAAGGATCATACAAGTTATGTAAAATTTGGTATTACCCCAAATAAGTTTAGCTCAAAAAAGATTGAAAAACCAAATCTTTAAAACTCAAAATAACAAAAGAACTGATATTAACTTCCAAATTCAACAGCTACCCAGATAAACTAATACCACAAAAGATCAGAAAAAAGGTACCGTTTTAGAAGAAGTAAACTTGCAAGATCTTTGTAAAGAGATTGGCAAAGACAAAGAACCAGCAGTAGCAATGGCGGCCATGGCGTTTCAAAAGAAGAAGAAAACTAATGTTTGAATAGCCGATTGGTGGGCAAGGGAAGAACGAGAGAGAGACAGTGAGAGAGGAGTGTCAAAAGCCAAGAACAAAAATGGGGATGTTGGATAAGGGGTTGATGATGCTCGCGATCTTGGCAGGCCTTCAAGGGTTGCCACGTGGACAAGAATATCGTACACGTGGCATGAATGGTTTCCACAAGCTTTAGACTCCTCGTAGTATCTTTTCTTTCCCCGGCCCCTTTGGGGGTGGGGGGGGGGGGGGGGTGGGGGGTTTCTTTCGTTGATATCTCAGCTGATTGCCAGCTCGGATTTTGGGATATCTTTGTCTATCTCCCTATCTGTTTGTGCGTTCTCTTTTGGCTTTAATATAAAATAAATGTATAAATATATTTTACTTTCTATTTTCATGTTTAATTTTTGGTTAAAATAAATGTTTAACGTAGGGATGGTAAACGGGTATAGTTTTATGGATTTCACTCCGCATTCGTTTCAATTGAAGCAGGGATGAGTATAATTTTAGCGGGTAGTGGGCGGGTGTGGATTTATAAAGTGGTACTCGTCGTGGGTGGTGGGCGGGTAATGGGTTTGAGACATTACCCGCCCTGCATCCGCCCGCCCCACATCGGCCCACCCAGCTAAATATCTATTAAATTTTAGACCATTATGAATTTAGGTGTAATTTTATAGACTAATTTATAAATTTTAATATTATATAATATATAACATATAATTTATCCAAATATTAAGGATATTTAGTCTTTAATCTGGTCTTTAATTAGGGAAATATTCGGCTCTTTGATTAAACCCATAATCCCACTAACCACGTCACTTTACATGTTCTTTAGCCCATGTTGGTCATCCAAACACAAATTAGCCGTACTATAAACATTAACATCAAAAGCAGTAGTTTTCATGTTCTTTAGCCCCTCAAAACCCATATTAGGCGCACTATGAGCATTAATATCGAAAGCAACACAACAATCCAGCTCTGCGAC